ATGCTTTGCCTTTGTCTCATGCAGTGAGTTAGATTAATCAGCTCTCCACAGCTGGGGCAAAGTACCCAACACCTGCAATTTAAAAGAGGAGAGAATTAATTTGGCTCACAATTCAGGGGTTTAGTTTGTGATTGGGAGGCTCCAACACAGAAACATCATTGTGGAAGGGTATAGTGGAGCAGAGCTGCTTATTACTTCAGGACCATGGAACACAGGGAAAGAGCACCAGCAAATATAAACTGTGATAAATAGAGTGCTTGTATGTACAGTACTTATGTAGATACAGAAAACCTGAGAGCTTTTCAAAGGCACAGCTCCTCCAACGGGACCCAAGTTCCTAATGGTACATTCCAAAGCCCCATGATGTGGTCAACATTCGAGGACTCTTAATTCATTCAGGTTGACAATTAAGATGAACTGGTACAGAGATTTTTGAGTGGCAAGTCAAATAATATTTGTTGAATATTAATCTGGCAATATTTTGTGGGGTAGCTAAGAAAATATTTCATATAAATGTAAATCTCTTAATAATTGTCTGCTTATGAAATAATAAGAGCCTATCTTTTGTGGTAAGTAGGAATAGAGAGTGGGGTGAATTTTAAAGGGATGGTGGTGTGTGCCTGCGATCCTCGGACACTGAGGCAGGAAAACTGCAAGTCACAGCCAGTCAGGTAATTTAGTGGTTTAGGGAAACCATGTTTTACAATAAAAAGTCCTGGGGATAGAGCTAAATGATGGGCTTGTCCAATTGCCAGTACTGTAGTAAACAATCAAACACAAATGAAGGAAGTGTATTGGTGTTCACATAAGAAACTTGAGCAAGCCAAGAAAGCTTTGAGGTTGTAAGTGTGGTGAATTATAGCATAATACTGATATTAATACTAAGAATTGGGAAGTCAGATTGAAGGTAGGTTGAAAATAAAAGTGTTGGATAAATTCGATATAAGATATTTTGAATTTGGGGTAGCAGCCAAATTTCTTACTGTACAGTTGTGAATAGGGAGAGAATATGAAAATGAGATTATCTTAAGAATGTGCTGATTAGATGATATGAACCGTGTTTGTTTAGTTAAAATCTAACAACAAAATGTTCAAAGTACAAGGAATATGTTCTGTTGGTACTTTTTTTTTTCTAGAATTCACTGTTACTTAGTGTATATTATTTGACTTTGTATATCTGTAAACATAAACATATTATTCATATTTTGTGTCATTCTGTGAGGGCAGGTCCAATGTACCCTTTGTAATTCATATTAATAGCTATACTTTATTTAAGGACATTTATGTTTACAATGGCCTACCTGGCATGAGGTCATGAGTTCGATCTCCACTACCAAAAAACAAAAACACCCAAAAAAACACTAAATCCAAGGACATTTAGATTATTTTCAATTTTTCATTTTTTATTAAAAATGTAAAGAATATTATGTAACTATTATGTAACTTGCATAGTCATTGAGCTGCTTTTGTACAATAAATTTTACCACTGCCAGAGGGCGTTAAGAGTTAAGTAGATATATCATTTTGATATGGGTAACTTTCTAGAAAGAATTGTATTGAATTTGTGTGCATGTATATAAATTAGCAGTGTGAATTTTATTTTATAGAAGAATGTAATGTCATATGTTTGTGTGTGGTACCCACTAGTGGTGTATCATAGGGTATTCTAGCTTTATTAGTCATCAAAATTAGCATATTAAAAAGGTAGTTAAAATTGTAATCATTGTCTCTGAACAGGATAGATTCTCCTAGCCTGGGAATGGTGTGGTACATTTGGTGTCTCTTACAGTTGGTGTCTGGTGAATCCCTTGTTTGCAGACCCTGTCTTATATCCTATTTTTGCGTGATGAAGAATGCATCTCTTCATATAAGGACACTAATCCTCTTACGGGGATTCTACCCTCAAGATTTCATCTAACTCGATTATCTACAAAGACCTTAACTCTTAATACCATCAAATTGGGAATTACGTGATTAACATTTAAGTTTGGAGTGAGGGGCTAAACATATTTCATGGAATTGGAGATACAGTTGCTGATTAAGAAGGAATATGCTGAAGCTGGTAAAGTATTGGGAAATACTTCTGTAGATTTCAGTGCCAAAAATATGGAAGAGATAGTTTTTAAATTTTATTCTCCAAAAATTTTTGTCTTAATGAGTTTTATTTCTAAAGAAACTTAATTCTCATTTTGAATTAGAAGTCAGTGGAAAAATTTGCTATGTACAGAGTAACATAGCAAATTTTTTTAACTGGAGTAAAAAATTTTAGCTCTCGGGGCTGGAGATTTAGCTCAGCGGCATGTGCGCCTGCCTTGCAATCAGGCAGTTGTGAGTTTGATCCCCGGTACCAATAAAAAGGAAAAAGACAAAAAAAAAAAAAAAAAAAAAAAAATTTAGCTCTGAAATCTATTACTGTTTGTGGAATTAAAGAGCAGTTTTTAATTTTCCTAACATATTTTAGGCTTTCAGCTAATTAAAATTAAAACCCTGTAATGCTTTTCATTGGTATTACTGAAAAGTATGAAATAGGTTTTGTAGAAGTTAATTTTGAGTCAAAGAGCAGAATCAAGAGCATATGCCAGGGTTATGACCCAGTTTTTAGTTCTGTGGCCTTTATTTTTTGGTATTAGAGATTGAACCTGGGGACTTTGTACTGAACTATATCCCAGTCCTTTTTTGTTTTGAGTCCTGCTAAATTGCACAGGTGAGACTTGAACTTTTGATCTTCCTGCCTTAGTCTCCCAGAGTGCTGGGATGACAGATGTGTGTCATCACACCTGGCTATGAATGTGTCTTTTTTTTTTTTTTTTTACAAATGTATCTTCTTTACAGGATAATTTTGCATACAATATTTACAATTATTGAATCCTAGGATATGTTTAAAATAAGAGTAAGGAGCAAAATGTTCCTGAAGAATGTTTTCCTTTTTATTGAAGAGTAGTTTTGTTATTGGAATCTCCTGACAACTCCAAAATGCTATCACATAGCTCTTTCTAAAAGTGGCTTGCAAATTAAATGTTCTCGGTAGCTCTCCTCTCCTTCCAGGTTCTTCTCATCTCAAACAAAGAGATGAACAAAACGAGAAAAAGACAGTGGCCAAGTTTATTCAAGCAAATAAAAATGAAGAGAAGACTGCAGACTGTCTGCAGAGAGAGCTTGGGCAGAGTGAAAAGGAAAAGCAGGATACCAGGACACCTTGGAGGAAGCAGGGCGGGATATGTTGAGGAAAGCCATGAGAGCAAGCTCTCCTTGACGTCTGTGTCCATTTACACTGTCCAAACCTCCAGGAAAGCTGTGAGAACATCTACTGACAGGTCCTGAGAGGCAGTGCTGGGGTGGGGGTACCACTCTTCAGGCTGACACCAGGTCTAAGCCATCTTATTGAAAACTTGCAAATTCTTGCAAAAAGTCTGCCTGCAAGGCTTTGGGAACTGTTGTGCTTCCAGGATCTTGTATTAATAGGTTATGCCTACTTCCCCAACCAGCCTTGTCACACCCTGATTTCCTATGTCAGTTTTACAGGAAACCAAAACAACTTCAGTTTTTTAGTTTTTTCTTTTTTGTTTTTTTGAGACAGGGCCTTGCTATGTAGTTCAGGCTGGCCTTGAACTCAGCATGTAGCCCAGGCTGAGCTTGAACTTGAAGCAGTCCTGCCTCAGCCTCCCAAGTGCTGAGATTACAGATGTGCGCCACCATACAAGATGACAATCTCAATTTTAAGGTTTTTATGTATTAGGCAGATATCATACTAACTTATCAAAAGTAGTATATTTAAATGAAGGCTGAATAATTTAATGGATAATGTGATAGGCCAAAGGTCTTTTGTCATAAGAAAAATATAATTCATGATACCCCATGACGAAGGGGGAATGTTACCAGAAAAAAAAGGGACACAACTACTTTAATTAAAATTTTAGATCTTAGTTACTTATAATAACATTTTTCTTTATTTTTAACTTCTAGCTGCGGTAAATGCTTAATTCCCATCTGTATTAGTTACTTGTTGCTGAGACAATATACTGGCCACTCAAAGTTAGAGGAAGAACGGTTTATTTCAGCTCCCACTTTGAAGAGGTTTCAGTCCATAGTGGGCTAGCTCTAAGGCGGGCTGGCATAGCCGAGGGCCATCATACAGGAGAAATGGTCCATGGCAAACAAGCAGGAGGCAGAGGAACAGCGAGCTGCAGCCGCAAGCCTGTCTTCCTTTCCCACACCCAAAGTGGGGCTTCCAATATCCACACTCTTAATCCACATTCACAGACCCTAACCCAGCCACCTTTGAAATGCTACCCCTTGACTGCATGAGTCTCTGGGGAGACATCTAGATGCAAGCCATAGGTCAGTGCTTTTGGGTATAGATGAAGTGATTGTTTCCTATTCTTAGCATATACATCACATATTGGATATGCTCAATACTTAAATTGCTTTTCAGCATTTTGGCTATGATTAACTGTGATTAGTACTGACATGTTGATTGATTTCTCATCTGAATCTGCAGGCTGACTGTAGTTTTTTTTGTGTCAAATGAAAATTTATTTGTAGCATTAATTGCAGACATGGTACTTGCTGAAGGTCATCTTTGTGAAGACTGTTACTTTCCCCAGCCACTTAACAAACTCAAAATGACTTTTCTGTAATTTAAGAGTGTGCATTTATACTAGGATACATCCTTGAAGATAACTTCAGTAGCTGACTCTGGTTTGTGTATCCAGCAGTATTTAACTGAAAAGTCCATACTTCTGGTGTGGTTAGGTTAATGCTTATAGTTGTAACTTTGTAGTTGTAATAATGCTGTAGCTGTAACCATGGTCACAGAATCTGTGTGGCAGAGAATATTAAAGGTACAATTCAAATTTATTTTTGCATTTTTTTATGAACATTTTGAAAATTCTGAAAAGTGGGCTTTGTTATAAATTGGTAGAGAATGATACATGATAAAAATACAGAGCAATGAAAGCAAAAATTCATGGGTCACTAATTAAGTGTATTTCCCTGTGCAGGTATAAGATGAACTCCAGAGCATCTGTCGTAGCCAGAAAGAAGTGGGAAATACTCCTGAAAAGAAAACTAAAACATTAAGAAACCACAACTTATTTTTACATGGTTTCCAGCTCACTTACCAATATGGACACTTTTACAAATATTTTTCCTCCTGGTGGAGACAGTGGAATAAATTCTGAGTCTGAGCTCCAAAGAATGTTAGCTGATGAAAGGTTACGATGTGAACATCATAAAACCAATTATCAAACACTAAAAGTTGAACACACAAGGTAAGTTACTTAAATTAGTGGTGAGGCATAGGAAGTGGGTTGTTAAAGTTCCTAGAGCTGTCCAGGCTAAACGTTTCCTCTGGAACGTGGAGTATAATTTTGTTATTATTTAGTATATTAATACTTTTAATGAAGTAAAATTGTTGCTTGAAAATCTTTGTTTCAAAGCTATGATATCAAGTGACTCTAAACACATCCAGGTGGCTAAACATGTTTTTCCTCCTCAAAGAAAAACTGCTTTCAGAAACTACAGTGTGAAACTGTTAAGATATTTGCAAGTTTGATGGAATGTATGATAGTAATCTTGTTTTTCTTCAGTGTTGGTTGACTTTACATAAAGTAATGCAATTAGAAAGCAAAAGATATGCTTCGAATTGAATTTTCTTTAAAACAACAGGTTGCAGGACGAGTATATAAAGTCACAAAATGAACTGAAGCGCCTGTCAAATGAAAAACAGACTAACCAGGAAAAGTTCCAGCTGATGTTTGAAGAGCTAAGAGAAGAATTACTAGCAAAAACTAAAGACTTAGAAGAACTGAAAGGACAGGTGAGAAAATATATTCACACTTGTATCAAAATAGTGGAAGTAGCTTTGGTAAATACATTAAATTTTCTGTGTATCTTTAGTGATTATTTTGCTGTAGTTCCAGTTGATATAATTTAATCTTCTGTTACATGTTCTACAATGTTAGTTACCATGTATGGTGACCATGAAACTTTATTTGTATGTAAATTGATATTATATTATCTGTTCTGATTTAACTATTTTACCGCTCAGAATACTTAGGGGCAAGACTAGTTATTAAGGTTCAGAATTAAAGAATTTTTTTAAAAAGAAAGATGTAATACTTCTTTTTTCTTTTGAGGAAGGGTCTTACTATTTAGTTTATACAGGCCTTGAACTCACTACGTAGCCCAGGCTGGCCTTGAACTCCAGGTGATCCTTCTGCCTCAACCTCCCTAGAACTGGGATTATAAGCATGTACTAGCATGACCAACTAATTTTTGTATATGTATTACAACTTAAATTATGCTTAAAAATATTATTATTTTAAAATTGCTTCTTAAAAGAGACTGTAAAAACAGTATGTACACAAGATTTTTGTGCACATCGTAAGGTAAATGGGTTTCTTAAGCAAATAGTTGAGATCAAAGTACTAAACTACTGTTCCTTTAGATACTGTCAGACTATTTCATTTGCTTGGATAACAAATCTAGACTTACCTTTAACTCTAGCCAAGCTGATAACTTTAAAGCTAGTCAGTATTAATGAATGACATTTTCCTGTATTCATCTACATGCTGAATCACACTATCTGGAATATGCTTGGCACTAAGTTTGCAGAGTAAGAGATATTTTCCAATTTACTTAGTCTGGCATAATATTGAATTCTTTTGATAGCAGCCTTAGAGGTTTGTCACTGTTGTAGTCAGGGGTTGTACACAGAGAACAATTCACGTCAGGACATGGAGTTTATAATATTTTTATAATGGTCACTGAAAGTTAACACAGGGGAATGCAGGAAATCTATCCGCAACACCAACGACATAGATTATTTAAGTCAAGAGCCTAAACCCCACGGCAATGTCCCACATGAGTCCAGATAAAAACCCACGAGCTCAGGACAATGCCTCCACGAGTCCAACTGGAAGTCCAGGGCCCACAAGGACTCACGCCAGTCTCTTTTACGGATTCGTGCCGGGAAGACCCAAGGGTCAGCGGTGGAAGCCAGAAAGTCCATGCCAGCAGGATGAAGGAGCTGTGCTAGTGGGATGAGGGTTCTACAGTGGAGCTGAGAAGTCACACTCACAACAAAGAGCAGGGCTGTCCTGAAAGGAACCACAGCTGTCCTCAGTGACACGGAGGCCCCAAAGTCCTCCCACGATAAGCACAGTCGGGAACGTGCCAGGAAGCCGCGTGACGAGTTCACCCTGGAGACCAGGCAGCACATGTCTTCCCCTCCGGAGCCAGGAAGCAATGCTCGATGTGAAGACCAGAGCTTCTCCAGGAGAACCAACAGCTCAGACAGCAACTCGTAGGAGAACCAACAATGCCTCCATAACGCCTCAATCCCTCCGCACCTCTCTTCTTCTCCACCTATTTATCCTGGCAACCCTTCTCAGGGGGAGCATCTTCTCTCAATGCATGCTGATGTAATCCAGCTGGTGTTAAGTTGACCACTAGTTATCAAACCATAACAGTCACTCAGTGTCTTAATGAAGTCTTCCATTGTTGGGACCTCCCCTAAGCCTGGGTTGGAACCTCTGCTACACTGTTCATTCCCAGGTTATTTGGGACATTTAAATAAGCAAGTAAAAAACAAAACAAAACCTCCCCAAAACAGGCATTTGTGTTGAAGAGGGAAATACAAATTTAATCTTTTATAAAAAGAGACCTATGTGAATGGAAGCAGTGATTATAGAACTTCAGGTACTTGAGATACTTTTAGGCTTTACATATAATAAAACAATTCATTTTCAAGAATAATATCTAAACCATATTTATTTGTACCAACTACATACAGGAATAAGCTTAAGAAGGCCGAAGTGACCATATTAACATCAGAAATAATACAAAAATTCATCAAATATGACAAGGACATTTTCTAATGAAAAAGGGTCAATTCATTAAGAGGATAATGACCTCAACACATCACTATGTCACTATGCCTTAGTGTTCTCATTTGATAAGGAGGATAAAGGTTTTTAAACTTACCGTAGAATTAATGAGATGTTATATATATTTTACTGTAGAGCTTGGCACATAGTAGAGATTCACAAATGATATTTTTATTCAACCTGAGTTTAGGCTCCACAAAGGCAGGAAGTTGTTTTCACTGCTTTCCCAATGTTTGGACAATGTCTAACAGATACGTATTTGTTGAAAGAATGACATGAATAAATGGGATAAACAGTGAGTTTATTGTTCTGTTCATATGTCATGTTTACCTTCCTGTGTCATATATACCTAAGCCTCAGTATCTTAGAGTTGCCAATCATCTAGCTTTATTTTCGTATCTGTTATGGAGATAAGGTCAACTTGTAATCCATAGTAACCCATAATGTGACCTTATTTGGGAGTAAGTCATTACTTATAAGAAGGTGTTACTGAAGTCATGCGAGAATGTGATATGCCTTTAAGCCAGTATTGAGAAGAGATTAGAGGAGATGGAGAGAAAAAACTTGGGGCTCAGAAATGCTCTGTGATGACATGGGCAGCTGCGTGTTAGCACAGTACCAGCAAAGAGAAAGGAGCAAGGAAGGAGACTCGGAGGTTCCACAAGGAGCCCACCCTTGCTGATGCCATGGTTTCAAGCTTCTGACTTCCAGAACTGTGAGACAATCAATTTTCTGCTGTTTTTAGACACTCGGTTTCTGGTGTTTTCCTAGAGCAGGGCTAAAAAGCTAACATACTACCCAAGTCAAAATTTCTTTTTAGAGCATTTTGGACACAAGATCATTCTTTCTTAGTTTCAGTGATACAAAACCGAGTTAATTTTTTTTGTTAAGTTTTTGTTTTTGAAACAGGATTTCATTGTTTTGCCCAAACTGGGCTCAAACATTTTGATCCTCTTGAATCAGTGTCCTGAATAGCTAGGATTATAGGTGTGTACCACTGCACCTGGTTGTATAGTAAACAGTTACCTATTTCTGTTTATGAATTGGAATATATTAAGCACTTCATCTTTCTTGTTAAAAGGAATTGTCATCCTCCCTGTTCCTATGTTGTTCCTTAGAGCCACACAAAAGAATTTTGGGTGGTCTTCTGTTATGGTTGATACATTGTATTAACTTGAGAAGTTTAGTAGTTTAACTGAGCGAGCCAGCAGGGAGCTGCAGGGAGCCAGGGTCCTTTTTTGTAAATACTCTCATCCTGTGCAAAGGAGGGCAAGGAGATTTTGTGAGTGTTACACCCACCCTGCAAGGGGGATTGGAGGTGGCCTGTGTACAAAGAGGCTTGTTTTCTCCCTTTTTGCTCTAGCTGCTGCTGGCTGCTGTCTTGAGGTGTTGCCCCAGTGCCACACCACCCTGCCTCGCAGCCAGCTGATTATGGACTGAAACTTCCAAAAACTGTAAACTAAATAAACCTTTGTTTTCCTAATTTTTGATGTCAGGTGTTTTGTCTCAGCAGTAACCAAGACATCCTCCCTGATACATTTCCAGATGTTTGTTGATAAGTGTAAGTTACCCAGATAAGTCTTTGATTTTTCAAGACAAATTTATCTTATTTCTGTGTGATAGTTATCTGGCAAAAAGAAGCTAAACAAATATCATGTATACATCTATAAAGATAAAGCAATTTAGCTATTTGCTTTAATGGATGTTTGCGATTTGTACAAATTGTAAGTTAAGAAAGGCTCCGTAAATTCAACTATAAGCTGTGTAAGAAATATTCCAATGAGGGTTTATGAAAGATGTTTATTTTTAAAATATACATATAATTATGTCTTAACTGAAAAAAAATGCCTTGTCTAACATTTAATAACCCTTTGACTTTTATAGAAAATAGATGTAAAATATATAGATTTACAGAATATTTCTCCATTAATTATGAGTGACAATACTAGTGCCTGATTCACAGAATAGTTAGAAAGTGGATTTTGACCTTGTAATGGCTTGGTGTCTACAAGTCTAGCCAAAGCCTTTTGCACTCATAAGTGGGGTAGGGGTGTTATTGTTGATACATTTTGTCAACTTGATAAGTTTAAAGTTTAGGCAGCTCAGCAGGGAGCCAGTGTCCTTGCTTTGTAAATATCATCATCCTGTGCAAGAGGAGGGTGAGGAGATTTTGTGAGTGCTACACCTGCCTTGGAGGTGTTAAGGCCTGTGTACCATATAACGGAAGAAAAGAGGCTTCCTCTTGCCTCTTTTGGCTTTTGTTGCTTTGCTATCTTGTGGCTTGCTATAGCACCATGCCTGCCTGCTTTGGAGCCAGCTGATTATAGACTGAAACCTCCACAGACTGTGAGCTAAATAAACTTTTCCTTCCTTAATTTTGGCTATTGGGTATTTTGTCTCTCCAATGAGAGAAAAGTAATCCAGATATGGGGCTTTTTTAGAGGTCGCTCAAGCTAGAGCATATAACACAGGGATTAAGGGTAAATGATTACAAATCAGTCGACTAGTTGATTTCATACCTGCCCTAAGCTCCATAGCCTAGACACAGTATAAAAGGAGCAGAAAGAAACTGCTCAGGTCCCTTGGACTTGCTGCTTGTGACTGCCTTCTGTTTGTTGTGAACTGTTTCTCCTCTTATGATTCCCCTTTGGCATGCCACCCTGTCTTGGAGTCATCCAGCTATGAACTGAAACCTTTACAAACTGTGAGGTAAATAAACGTTTCCATCCTTAACTTTGTGTGTGAAGCATTTTGTCTCAGCAGCAAGAAAGAGCAACTAAGGCTGAATTTGCTACCAGAGAACTGGAGTCATTGCTGTGACTATACCTGACCATGTGGTTCAGGAGCCTTTGAAACTGGCTTGTGAGAAGAATTTGGAAGGGTACAGAGATACAGGCTGAAAAAGCAGCCCTGGAACATTTTATACTAG